GCTCCCAGACTCAGTGATCGCGACAAATGTATTGTTTTTATTTTTTCCTCTGATTAACGTTAAATTCATTAAATCATATTAGTTTTAGGTATAAATAATGATCCATTGATTATTCTTCGCTGACCGGACTTTTCCTTTAAATAATCCGTTTCCATGTGTCTGGTTGCTTCGTTCTGCTGCTAACATTTTGCTCTGTTTTTCATTTTTCCAGGTTATTTTTGCCACAGACGAGTGGTTTGCTCCTGCTAAAAACCTGCTAAAGGTGAAAGTCTTGTTTATATCGAATTTACCTTCATGATATAAAAGCATTGCTGACCAATTCTGGAAAACAAACCCCATAAATAGGCTTTTAAATCAAACAGTGTTTATATATTTGGTTTCTTTATGTCTCAGAATTCCTCTCTGGCTCCACAGTTGGACATTTGAAGACAGTTACAGAAAGTGAGACCTAGATAAATAATCTAGAGGGGGGATGCAGCTATAAATATCTGACAGAGATTCTGTGCTGGTGGGTTAAGATTAGGGTGATGGTAAAGAGGTTTTCCAATATAAAAAACATTGAACTTATTAATGAAAGATCAATAATCGAAATACCAGAAGAAACAAGGAAAAACCGGTTAGCTGTTAGCAGGATCTGAAATCTAAACTGCACAATCACTTAATGTTGGAACATTTAAAGGATGATTGATTTATGCAACAAGAACCTCAGTCTATATATCTATTCATCTTATTTATTTGCACAGTGGCCTATCTATCAGTTGATATCCCTCAAACATTGAGACTTTTAAAATAAGCAGCCTTTATGTTTGAACAGAGAGATCCTCCTCAGTTCATCGGATCTGCCTTCACCGAATTCGGGAAGTGGATGGATGGATGGGAGACGAGGAGGAAGAGGATTCCTGGTGAGCATTGCAAGTGTGGTTTGCGAAAAAGTTAAATAAATAATTTGAGAAATGCTCTCTTGTTATTTTCAATCCAAATTCTAGGGGTGTAAAAAAGTCTGCCTTAAAAAGACATTGTCCTGCAGGTTGTAAATCATTCCTTATTTCATTACAAGATTAAGATATTTGCAGCAAAAGTATTTTCATCACCCTTAAATTTAAAGAGCATATGTAATGCCAGGTCACTGTTCTGAGCTTTTAACTGTGCTATAATACCGTTACTTTGAAAAAGTAATTAGTTATAGTTACAAAAGTCAAAGTCAAAAAGCCTTTATTGTCATCATATTCTGCAACGGATACAATGAGATTTTGGGACTTCCATATCAGCTACCGTAAAATCAATAAAAAATGAAAAATAAAAAAGTATAAATATATTAAAAGGAAAAGGAAATGTAAACAGTACTGGCACAGATTGTGGGGGGGGGGAATAGTGCAAAACAGGTGGAAAGTGACCGACAGTGCAGGTCGGAGTTGAGGGGGGCAATGGCTTGGGGGAAGAAACTGTTCTTACTAGTTACTTCTCCCAAAAAGTAACTGAGTTAGACTAGTTAAAAGTAACTAGTTAGTAGTAAAAGTAACTATTGCGTTTTTGCGAGTGTATGAAGTTAATTACTGGGGATGTCTAATTTTGAAATCCTGTGTTTTTTCTCCCTTTCTCCATATAGGCAAATGATCGTTCAGCTCTCCGTAGTTCTCCTGTGGCGCGAGCACAGGGCGACTGTTACGCGCCTTTAGCGAGCATGCGCGTTTCCTGTCGCTTACACAGTGATTTGTGCCGCCGCGCTGTGCGGAGATGCGGGAGAAACCGTATCTGATGGGGAAACGCAGCTCGACGTAACACCGGTATTTCCATCTGGAAAGCGCTGTTTTGCTGCTGGAGTCCTCCTCACTCTCCATCCTCCCCTCTCTCATGGCGCGCGCACGAGTCCTATCATGAAAAAAGCTTAATTGTGCTAAATGCTAAAACGAACTGAAACAATTTATCAGGATAAGACAAAATAAAAATAATACCCCA